TATTATACTTTTATATTCATTAAGCTGTATATTACCAAGGTAATTTTTTTATAAATTTTTAACATTTAATTTTTGAATAAATCAGTTTGTTTCTTTTTTTAGCAATATTAAATTAGTTTACGAGATCATTATTTAGAAATATAATAATCAAAATTCAAAAACATATAAAATGTATTTCATAAAATATATTATTAACTATTATAAGTATTTATTCGACTCTTGCTTAGACCTAAAAAAAAGTTCTTTTGCCTGATTCACGTTTAGCATTAGGTATCAAAACTTTGTCCTAAGATATTTTTAAATATCTCAGTAATTTACAGATCAATTTTGTATTATCGGGTTAAGCCTTTTTCGCTGTAGAGAAATTACTAAATCTTGAGCTTATATGAGGTTATATTTTAACGATAACTTTTTTTTTTCGTCAACGAATTAATAATAATCTAAATACGAGTGTTGTCAATTCTAATATTTTTATTTCTAAAACGAAAATTTATTTTCTATTACCTTTCTTATCACATTTTTATTTTTATTAATTCCAATATGAGCACATTTATTATAACCACAATGCCTAAAGTTAAAATGATATTAATTTATAGGTGACGCTCAACCTCAGAAATTTGACGGTGATAAAAAAAATTTAAATTTTTTTTGTTTATATATAATCTTATTAGAAACAAAGATATCGGAATCTTATATATTATTACATTATAAACATTAATATACTTTAGATTATTTTTAATAATACAATTGAATCAAAATCATGATAACATAATCGCAAGTAGTGACGGCTCGTTTTGAACCGATTTTTAAAAACGGGTAATTCAATATTTTAGCCAGAAAAATATTTCCCTAAGCCTCGAAATTTCTATAATAAATGTCTAGACCTTTGTTCCTTCTATGAACAAAATCTTCAGGCTTGAGTAATATTTTTATGGATGAATTATTGAGTTAGCCGTTTTTAAAAATCGGCTCAAAATGAACCGTTTAACATGACTAATCTCACGCAAGACATATAAAAATTTTAAGATATGTAAAGGATCAGAAGAAGACAACACTATTTTTATTTAAAATGTTTTTACTATGCGAAATCTATTTTGATAAATTTTTAAAAAATTTCCAACTATTTTTTGTGGTTTTTAAACCTTCAAACACCGATGAAATACTGGTTTGTTGACCCTATATTATGATAATTCGTTTAGATACAATAAGCTTACATCGATTGGATTTATTGTTAAATGCGGTATTTTAATAGTTCCAAATTATATTGTCATTTTAAAATAAGTCTAATATTTCCAAGATAAAATATGATTTTAACTCTAATCATACTATTTTCAAAATTGGTTTCCCATCATGTTAAAAATTATAATATATTTTGGTAATATTCTCCAAATCCAATATAATTGGCAATCTATTTTTTTTTAATTGAAAATTTTTAATATTTTTGACGACATAATCTATATATTTTTTTGTAATTATTTTAAGATGCGTCCAATATAGTGAATGGTATATTATATTACATAATTTAATTTAAAATATAAAGTAATAAATAAATATATAAATGTCATTTGTAAGGTATATGCCCAAAATCAAAAAAAATAACTAATTTATTTTAAAAAAAATTTTTGCAAATATATTATTTTATTTTGACACCTTTTTCTAATTCTAGCATTTTAGATTGTCAAATATTTCAACTGTATTAAATAATACTAAGGCTTTTATCTCTTGAAAAAAAATAAGAGGCAATTGTTAAAATATTCAAAATTAAATCGGACCATATAATTTTAAAATATGAATTTTTTTGACTTTGGACATACCCTTAGTTTAGTTAATTTTTCTAATTATGTTTTGTTTCTTTACTTTATTTTCTCACAAGCCTATTAACATTTTTCGGCACAAAATTACCCAAATTATTTCACTCTAATCACTTTCATCGTAATCTTTCTATTAGGTTATGTTTCCTACTAGTTGTTGTTAAAAGGCTCTATGTGAATTGATTTTTTTAAAAACGACTAACTTACATATTTTAGTCAAAAAAAATATAGCCTCGAGATTTTTAGATTTCCAAGCCTTTATGCCATCTATAATAAAAAAATCTTCAGGGTTGCGTAATACTTTTCTGGATAAAATATTAAGTTGGTAGTTTTTAAAACATTATTTCCTTCCCACAAATTTGCCTCGCCTCTATTTTCTGACTCATTTGATGAAATGTATCTCTTATATTATACTTTATTTTATTGAAATCTGATTGCAGAAACATCGACACCTGCTATGGATGATAAAGTAAAACGAGGTATGCAGTGGTTTTATTGCAAAATATTTTTATGATCTCATATTATTAGCTCGACATATATAATATTTATTTACATTATAACCAATATCGATATTTAATAAAAAGTAAATTTAGAAGCAAAAAAAACTATTGTTTAAATTAAAGGATAAATAAATAACAAAAATATTAAATTAATTTTATTCTCATTAAAATTTTACTTTAAAATATACCTTAAATAATTTTCATAAATTTAATTTATTTTGTCAAATTATAATTTTATTGGAAAATTTTAAGGTGGTGCCATTAAAAAACATAGGTTTTCAGGTAAAAATATGTAAATAATTCGTTATTTTTAAATCAAGTCATTTTGATATTCAAATAATATTATGGATAGTTTTAGTTTAAATAAACAATATAATTTCGTGACCAATTTATATATTATTGAAAATTTACTATACCCCATTTTAAAGATAGAATAAATATAATATGCTAATTCTACTTAAATTTATTATTAATTTCTATTACTAGGGTTAAAAAGAATTAATCGTGAAGAAGGAAATTTTACTATTCCACTATGAAGACTCATAATTCTTTACCCAAGAATCCAAAGCTTATTAATTATATTAATCAATAATATTTCTTATTTACATTACATACAATATAGAGTATAAAAATATATTTTATCCTAAAAATAATCAAAAAAAATTAGTGATTAATTTTTAATCAAAAATATTTGTGATTATTGCATTAAATTATATAATTGTTATATCTGGACTTATTTTATTTTTCTACGGTATTTACAATATATTTAGATTATTAAAAATAAATTTACATTTATCATAAAAATAATCAAAAAAAAGTGATTATTGCTTAATCAAAAAATATTTGTTAATTTTCTACGGTAATTCGAATAAAATCAAGTTGTAGCGATTGTCTCTAAGTGCTATCGAAATCCACAAGATTTTCGCCAAAAAAGAGTTCTCAGGTCATAAGATTTTCCTTCTTACAGAAACAAATTTAAGAGAAGAAAATCTTGAAAAATATTTTAATTTGTATAAAAAGGCTCAAGCAGGGATGTGAATCCGGACACTGAACCCTCCTGGACCCTCGTATTTTGGCTGAACCCGGACCCTTTTAAAAAGTGGAGGGTCTAAGAGTTCAGGGTGTTAAAAATTTTTAACTTACAATTTATTTTTTTTAAATTAATGTAAAAATATAATTTTTAAAAAATAATATAAAATTTTTATAATTTTATTAATTTTTTAAAATAATAATATAAAATTTTTATAATTTTTAAAAAATAATATAAAATTTTTATAATTTTATTAATTTTTTTCGTTCGTGGAATCTCCATAAAAAATAGTCACTTTAAAACTATAATAAGAGATGTTGTAAAATATTTAAGAGCTCCCACAATTGTTAGAATATTAAAATCCATGAAAAGGTAAATGGCAATTTTAGATTGCACAACACGTTGGTCCTCTATGTGTGTGATGCTAGAGCGATTATTAAGTTTGAAAGATTTCTGTAATGATTTTATCATAGGAGCATGTGAAATCATTTTGTCAGAAGATGATTGGAATCAAGTAAAAGAGCTTACTAGTGTGCTAGTTCCTTTAAAAATAACAACATTAAGAGTGCAAGCTGAACAATTATGTTTATCGGATTTTTATGGCATATGGTTAAGATGTCGATTAGAGTTAGGGAGATTAACAAGTCTTTTTCAAATGAAGTATTAGAAAATACGAAAATAAGAGAGAAACAATATTTAGAAAATAGTGTTGTATATGCTTCGATATATTTAGACCCGCGATATCAGGTTTTATTAAGTAGTGAGCAAAAAAAAATTGGCTATAGACCATCTTGAAGATTTATGTCATAACCAAAACTCTATTATTTACAATACATTGGTGGTTACAACAATATCTACTGGTTGTAGCGATAACAATGATAATGATATTGATGATCTGGAAATTTTACTATTAGATAGAGAAAAAAAATTTAAATTATCATCTGATAAAAAGGAGTAAAAATTTCTATTGTATCTTTAATAGAAAGTTCTCGGAAGTTATGAGAAAAAATAGAGATGCAAACATTTTAAAATTCTGGGAGGAAAATTCTTCAATATATCCAGAATTATATACCTTTTCTAGAATCGTCATGGCACCGGCGACAAAAGTACAATAATTTATGTATTATAAAAATGACTATCTATTTTAGGTAAGCGTAGAACGTGGATTTTCATCGTTGACTAATTTACGTGGAAATCTGAAGAATGATATTTTAGAAGATATCATGATTGTGCTATTGAATAAAATATTTAAAATATAATTTATCTCATTTCGAATTATAAATGTGTATATATTGAAGTATAATAAAAAATGAATGAAAAAAAGTCTTATTTTGAGTCATTATTTTTATGTTTCCTCTGAACCCGGACCCGAACCCAGACCCTTTTTTTTGTCGATGGGTTCTGGGCTCAAGTCAATATTAATTTTAGAGAAATAGCGATAAAATTATTTTTTTAAAAAAATATCTCTTTTCTTCGTGATAAAGCTCGAACCGGTTTTTAAAGGTACCGACCGAACCAATATTCGTTACGGTTTTCAAATTTAAGGAGAAAAAATCATATGAATGATTGTTTTATACATATACATATATATAACAAATATTTTTCATCATAACAAAGATAATAATATTATTTATATAATTACAATTTTTCTACATGCAAAATGCAAACATGGCTTTTTATGTACAATCATTTCTCTCTCTTTCGCGCGTAAATTAAATTATTTGCACATTTGAAATATAATTAAAAAATAATAATTTTTATAAAGTACGAATAAATGAATTCGTGACGTTGAGTGACATTTTAAAACATGAAATGTTTTTAAAATATTATTTAATTAAGGTAAGTAGGGTTTTAAATATTTTGATAATTGGCGTTATGTGAGAAAGGAGAAGTTGGCATACCACCAGGGTGTGGAGGAGCGTCCGGAGATTGAGGGTTTACTATAACGTTAATATATAAATATATATATAAGTATATTTACTCAAGACCATATGTTCAAACTAAATTTTTTATCATTAAGAAACAGCAATATTGCAAAATACACTTATATACGTTTGTTTTCGAACAGAAAACTCGTATTACGAGAGCGCAAAATATGTATTATACAAATTTTTTTTTTAAATATTTTGTTTCCCATTCAATTCGAACATAAATAATAATACTGGATATTGAGGGTTTATTATAATGTAAATATATATATATGCGTATGGGGATATGGAATCCGTGGAGATTCGGAATTTCTTGATTTTAAATCCGATTTAACCGGAAATGCATTCTAGCATGTGTAGAGTATTTACCAGAGTTGTTAAAAGATACTTTTTAAATGGATCTAGATACAGATACATCGTCTAAAATAATATCTAGATACCGATACAGATACCACATTTTTATATCTAGATACTTGTATCTAGATCCTTTAACAACTCTGGTATTTACCCCATAAATTTCAGACTATTTCAGTCATAGAAATTTTGATATTTTTTTTAAAATTAATTTATATGAAAAATCCATATGAAAATGAATATAAATTTAGGAGTAGTTCTTAAAGTTCGTTGCAAAAATTGTTTGAAAATTTACAGGTTTGGGTACTCTACACATGCCGAAATACGATTCGTGTAAAATAAGATTTTCAAAATCTAAAAATCGCCCTTAGTAAATTATTTAAAATCAAGAGATTCCGAATCCATCCTTGCGGATTCCATATCCCCATACGACCATATGTAAGTATATTTACTTAGGCTTGGGTTCATGCTAAATTTTTTGTTTTTACTCATGTCACATTTAAGAAACAGCTGTATTAACTTGATATTACAATTTCTCGAAAATTATTTTTTTATGTATATATAATACATAAATTCTTATTTTTTTGCAATAACACAACTTATATAGATTGTTTCGGAACAGAAACTCATATTATGAAAGAATAACATGAAGTTCTGTTGAAATACAACGGCAAACCCTCGTGTGTATATATATAGAGAAAATATAAAAAATATAAAAATATGTTTTTTACAACATTAAAAACGGGGAAAAAACATTTTAAAAAAAGTTTAAATATCATTTTAATAAAAATTTTAAAAAAAAACTAAGATTAGTAAAACGAGCAAATTATAAAAAACAATTGTGAAACTGGAAAAATTGCAACAAAATATTGGTAGATTATCATAAAGATTGTATTATAGTTACAAAAAAAAATTAAAAAAACAGAAAAAAACATTTTTTTTTGTTTTTTTTTCCTATCGAGTTTCAATGAAAATTTTATGATTTCATTCTTAAAAAAAAATGCATAGTAATTCGAGATAAAAAAAAACGTGATTTATAAATGCCACGCATATCGTAATATTTACCTGGGCGGAATTGTTCGGCGGAAAAACGAGTGAACAGGATCCCGACACCCTCGATGAGCGCTAATAACACACCACCTTAAGATTATATATATTTTTTTCAAAATAAATTATTTTTATTATATAAATCGCAGGATTCAAGCTTAGAGCTATTTTAATTGGTTGCGTGTAAATTTCGCGTATTTCCATTATGGCGAAAAGTTATTTCCGCAAACAATATCGCTTAATATTATAAGAGCGAATTCATTAGCGCAAAAATTTATCGCTCCGAAAAAAATGGCCCTTATCGCGAAAATACTAGAGCGAATCCTTTTCCGCTAATATATTTACCGCGAGTGCATTACCACAATAAGTGATTATAAAATGAGTAACTGCAATTGCCTTATTGAAATTTAAGACAAGATTACCATTTTTAATATTTTTCGGCCTTTAGACGGACCAAATGGAGCCCTGGAAAAAAGCTATGTCAGGTTCGGGCCTAAAACCTTTTTTCTTCAAAAAGGCCAGGCTCGGCTTTAAGATAGATTTTATATAACTCCATTTCTTTCCCTTAATTGTGGGAAAAAAAGAAGGATGGTGATTGGTCCATGGGAACGTAAGTAATTTCATTTCCTTTTTTTAACACGTGATTGGTCTTTTATTTATAGGACCATTAAAAAATAGTAGATTCCGCAACAGCGACGGGACGTACCTATAAATAATCGCCTCGGGAAATCCTATTAATAAGCGCAAAAAAAGGAATACGCTAAGGATACGAGGGTATTTAAAATATGGCGTCTTAGTTAATTATCATCCTATCGGTATGGGCTACTTCCTTTTATATCGCCCCAGGGACTAGTGTTGCTAAAGGACTAACTCAATATTTTAGCCAAATATAATATGCAAGCCTAAAGATTTCGTTAATAGACATACAAACCTTCCCGACATCAATGAGCAAAATCTTCAGATTTGCGTAATTTCGCCTATATAAATAGGCTTACGCAATGGAAAAATTATATTTTAAAATTTTCATTTAATTAATTTTCCATTGTGTAACATTACCAGCTAACGCAAAAATTTTCCCCACGGTCTCCCTTAAGTTTTCAGAAAAGGTACTAAACCTCATATTAACAAGAGGCAAGGACTGATGTGAGGCTTTTAGAATGAACTCACTGGCACACACACACTTTCAGTCACCTTTTCTGGAAACCGAGAAAGAATAATTACTCTTCTCGAACTTTACACAGGATATTAATGATCTGAAGACTAACTCGTCCCAGATCCAATTCATTACATCCCACTACCATCTTGGTTGGTAACGTGATTTGTATCAATTGTTTATGTTAATTGTTTACTTCTCAATTGTTTATGATTACTTAATAGCCTGTATATTACATAATGTAAATATGATATAATGATTATAAATTATAGTTGATAAACTTCAATAAAGATGGCCCGGCGTGGCCATGGCCGCATTTATTAAAAAAAAATCAAGCCGTTTCAACACTACCCAGCCAGGACACCATATCGGTTATTTATTAATCAGCGAATTTTTTATTTTAATACTAAAATTATGATGGCGGGCGCTAATAGAAGGGAACTTGGACTTCTAGCGATAAAAATACGCCGAAAATTAATGACAAAAACAAAACGAAACGCGAATAATATTGATGCGCAGCGGTGGAAAGGATAGAGTGACCAATCAAAAGCAAAGCCAACGCTACTTTTTTTAGACGAAGAATTCGCTGACATTCGCTCAATCAAATTTAATAATTAAAATAATATCGTGTCTAATTTATAAATTAAATATAACACCGAATCAAAATATAAAATGGTGGAAAATCAGAGTTTAAAAATTTATATATATATATTTTTTTTAAAAATAAATATTTAAAATAATGGTAAAAAAATGAAATAAAGAAAAAAACAGTTTTTTATTTTTGATAAAAAACGTGTTTTATATATATGTCTCTTCTAGTGGTTGTAAAACGGCTCGTTTTGAGCCGTCTTTTAAAACGCCTAACTCAATATTTTATCCACAAAAATATTGTGCCAGCCTGAAGATTTTGTCCATAAAGGGAACAAAGGTCTAGATATATAATATCGAAATCTCTTAGGCAATAGGCGTCTGGCTAAAATACTGAGTTAACCGTTTTTAAAAGTCGACTCAAAACGAGCTGTTTAACAACACTGGCTCTATTCTATATAGATAGACATTTATTTTTACCTATCGTTGTAAGCTTATAGATTATAACATAAAAGTTTAAACGTTTATTATTGGACGTTACGAATATTGTTGTGATTTGGCGTTTCGGGTTGAAAGAAGTGAAAGATATATTTTGGGACAGTCAATTGGGGGGGGGGGCGACAATCGAGAGTGGCAAATGAAGAGGGGATTATCCTGGCTGGTGATCAGAATGGACATGTGGGAGCGAGTAGTGAGGGTTATGAAGGAGTACATGGAGGATTCGGTTACGGCACGAGAAATGCGGAAGGGGAGAGGATCTTAGATTTTAGTGATGCTATGGATATGATTGTCTGTAATACTATGTTTGAGAAAGAATCAGAGAAGCTGGTGACTTATAAGTATGGTACTACCAAAAGTGCAGTGGATTACTTGTTATTAAGGAGATGTGATAGATGTATAGTAAAAAATGTGAAAGTGATACCGGGAGAGGAATGTATAAATCAGCATCGACTAGTTGTAGGAGATCTCACTCTTAAAGGTGCCATGATCACTAAAAGAAGGTTTGTGCCAAGGCTGAAGGTTTGGAAATTGAAGGAGGAGAGTGCTAGATGTCAATTCAATATAGCATTGGGGATCGACAAAAGGACCGCCAAGACATAAGGGGACATGATGGCGTAATCCGGAGGTAGCGAAAGCTATGGATGAGAAACGGAGGTGCTTCAAAGTATGGTATAATAGTAAAGAAAATAGTGATAAAAAAAAGGCAGGAGTTTGCTAAGAAATGGGAAATGTGGTCCCAGATGGCAAAAAAGAGGCAGGATGTGGTAGATGTTAAATGTTTGAAAATATAGAAGGAAAAATGGTGATTTATAGTAGTGGCATTAAGAATATCTGGAAGGACTTTTGAACTAAGAGAACGAATGGGATAATGATGTTAGTCGTGAAAAGGTAGAAGATCCAGAGTGAAAATTTGGCAAGGACGAAAAAAAAGTAGAAAAAAAGGGAAGGCAGCGTAATGAGAGTGTTATCGGAGCTGTTTAAAGGTTCTGATGATTTAGTGATTGAATGCTTAATGAATTTAGCCATTTAAATTGTCATGTAAGGAACTGATCCCGAGGATTGGCGATGCTGCATAATTATCCCTGTATACAAGGGGAAAGATGATCCTTTAGATTGTGGGGTCTTACAGAGATATTAAACTCTTGGAACATGCAATGAAAGTATTTGAGAGGGTGTTAGACAAGCGAATAAGGGAACAAATTAAAATTGATGACGTGCAGTTTGGTTTTACGTCGGGGAAAGGCACGACAGATGCAATTTGTACTGGTGAGACAAATACAGGAGAAGTCTCTTGAGAAAGAAAAGAAACTGTATTATGCGTTTGTTGATTTGGAGATAGCTTGACAGGGTGCCGCGCGATGTTACTAGATGGGCCTTGAGAAAATCAGGTGTGGAGGAATGGTTGGTTACCGCAGTGATGGCAATGTTGTGGGAGCACAAACTCCAGTACGGATGGTTGATGGAGATCGTGAAGGCGAAGTGAAGGTAGGACTACATCAAGGATCAGTGCCGAGCCCATTATTATTTATCCTAGTAATGGGCGTGGTGGCTAGAGAAACGTAAAGCACTTCCCTGGGAGCTATTATATGCAGATGACTTTGTATTAATGAATGACAAAGAGTGAGGAAGAATTGAGGGATAAAATTAGTAGATGGAAGGTGCTATGGAAGCAAAGGGTTTGGAAATGAATGCAGTAATAAAGGTGATGATTGGTGGGGATAATCTAAAGATGGAGGAATCCGGCAACTGGCCTTCTGGTGTATGTAGAAAATGAGTTGATAGAAGTTAGATCCAATGCACCAGATGCCAGAAATGGATGCATAATAGATGCAGGGGGAAAAAGAAAAGTGTGATGTTATAAGAATGTCCTTTATTTGTAGAAAGAGGTACATAATACTGATAAGGTAGAAAATGGTGGTTTAGATATTGGCAATGGGTTAAGGGTTAGGGTTTGAGCGATTTTATTTGAATTGAGTTCTAGCACTCTCCTCCTTCAATTTCCAAACCTTCAGCTTTGGCACAAACTTTCTTTTAGTGCTCCTGGAACCTTAAGAAGTGAGATCTCCTATAACTAGTCGATGCTGATCAATACATTCCTCTCCCGGAATCACTTTCACATTTTTTACTCCTATCTCATGACCTTACTAACAAATAATCCACTGCACTTTTCGCACTACCCGACTTGTAAGTCATCAGCTTCTCTGATTCTTTCTTAAACATTGTATTACAAATAATCATATCCATAGCATCACTAAAATCTAAAATTCTCTCCCCTTCCGGATTTCTCAGGCTCAGGTAGTAATTAATTCTCCGTGCACTCCTACATAATCCTCACTACTCGCTCCCACATGTCCTTTCAGATCACCAGCCAGAATAATCCCCTCTTCATTTGTCAATCTCGATGTCACACCCATTAGACTGTGCCACTTCACTTCTTCCAACCTGAGGAACATATGCCGAAATAATATTGTAGAGCTTTATACCATAAATCATCTCGATAATCATTATCTGGTTATCTCTTCTTACTTTGATTACTTTGACCACCCATTTCTCTTTAACCAAAGCCCAAACGTCAGCCTTACCATCATTACAACCTTGCCAGAAAAATTTGTACTTTTCCCTTGTCCTGCCAATCGTTCTTACGCCATCACCTTTTCATCTAAGTCTCTTGTATTCTATATGTCTTCTATGCAATACATCGACCACTTCCAGTCATGCTTCCAACATTGCATGTCGCAACTCTTATTCTTACCCCCTTAAACTGGTTTCTCCACTTATTATCAGGTCGTTTATGGCCGTCATATGTTTCATTTTCACGAATCGTGGTTCCAACAGGTTTCCCATCTTTGTC